AGAGAGAGAGAGAGAGAGAGAGAGAGAGAGAGAGAGAGAGAGAGAGAGCAGTGAGATTACTTGACCCACCTCACGATATCATCGTGTCAGACGCTAATCTTAGGAAACTGTTTGACGGTTTGACCCTCGTCCCTGTCAACAAGGGAGCACAATGCACATACCCTCTACCACAATCCAGTACGGCTACGAACTCCAAGGGTACTTTCGGCCGTTCGGCGGTCCATTGTCTCGTTCTCCCCCTTCAGCTCCTCTTACCTTGAGAAGCGGCTTCCTTTAATCCTGAAAAATGGAGTATACTGCTGCTGCGTGCTGCAGTGCTGCTCCATCCCACTGAGAATGGACAATAGCCGCTCTGAGAGTGGAAACTGAGTGACTGTCCGCTACAACTGCATTTATTACATTTATTTGTTTTCACCTCCTCCTAGGCTCCTCCTCGTCCAAGCCAACCATGAACCAAACAAACGCCAGCGATGAAGGTGGCATTTTCTGCTCTGCAGCGATGGCATTTGAAGTTGCCGCCAATTCTCGTCGTCTTTTAAGAACCTCCTTCCTCTCGCCGCCCTTGTCCTTCGCATCCTCTCCTGCTAATTGCAATGATAATGATAAGCAGGCAGCGTACCTCTCTCAGCTCTCTGCTTGCTGCATTCAGTGTCCTCAACCTCAGGTATCCGGGCTCGTACTCTCTTTCTCCTCCACAGGCTCCACTTCATACTTGTTGAGGCCGTGAATGAATCGGATATAGTCATGAGAGCGGATCAATCAATCAGCTTGGTGGAAGACCGCACAGTGATGGTGGGGAGACCTCACTGTGATCGTGAATGCATCGGATATAGACTCATATGGTCACGAGATCAGATCAATCACCTTGCTGGGATGTTGGTATAGATCAGCTCAGCGCTCTCCTTCATCTGCTCCCTGCTAACCACCAATCACCACAGTAACCTGTCCATAGCGAACGCCCCACTTCCACTTCTCACTCTCCATCCGTTCCCGGTTAGCCATCAAGCAGGATGGTGAAATGTGGGTATCGGGCCTATCGGCAAGCTCTCTCTCTCTCTCTCTCTCTCTCTCTCTCTCTCTCTCTCTCTCTCTCTCTCTCTCTCACACACACACACACACACACACACACACA